CACGTGATAGATTTCATAGTAAATCATCACATGATTAGGTCATTTTAAGGTCACTTCAAGGTCATTTGCCAACACTGACTCCATGTGCCATCTTATTTCGAACACTTTTTTTATAGTCCTTGAAAACTTCGAAGGGATTTTCATTATAAAATGCTGATTTATTCATAAAAATTTTTATATTCTCAGTGATGAAATTAATCATACAGAGGGTATCAGCATCTCGAAGTCTGTTTTAACTTTAGGACGTTGCTTTTTCGAAAAGGTTTCCACAATTTTAGCAGGGATTATGCCTGCGTGGTCGTAAAGGAACGTATAGAGTTCTACCTCTATTAAAGTATAAAATGTTTCCACGATGGCTCCCTGTTCGTTGACCGAGAAAGAAAATTCTTCCACTGGCGGAGGATTTTCTCTATTTGCAATGGCGTATCATCTATCATATCTTTTTTTATTAAACTTCGCTGTTGGACTTAACCAGCCGTGTACTTTGATATTTGCCGTGGTTTTCTCACGGAATGATTGGTCTCTATCTAACACGAAACGAAGTGACTCACGTATAGAATTTTTATTTGCTTTCAGCGGACAAATACTGTGTAACGCATCCAAAGTAGAATCGAGGGTGTCTTTAATATTTTCGTTGATTACTAGAAATTTTCATTATAAAAATTAGAAAAAAACTAAAGTCTCAATATTTTCAAATAATCACTGATCATTAATTAAAATACTACAAAATTTATCATTCATGATATTTAAATCGGATCGTTTATTTAAAGTCGCGAAACACGTCCGTCGCGTCAAATTAGTCAAATTATTAAGTCATAACTCACGATCATTGATGTATATCACGTGATATATATGATCTATAAAAGCCCTTAATTTTTTTTTTGTAACGTACCTTCCTTATAACAGTCAAAGAAAGATTGAATTGAACAATGTTCGTAAGATTGAAGCACGAGCAGGATCCTATCAATATTCGATTTTCAGATTCTGCTTTGAAAGAAGGATCGGAGGAAGAAAAAGATTTGCGTAAAAATGTGAAGCGAGTTATGGAGGTCGTCGTTGGCTTGTTAAAGGATAGGTTGGAGTGTGTGGATGAAGAACCGGATAGGAAGAGGGCTAGAATAGAGAAATATCGTTCGCATGTATAATAATAGCATAGTCTTCATGTATCACGAGCAAAGTCCCGATCTTTGTATTTATTTTTGCATGTATTAATAAATTTTTTTCTTGGCAAACTTCGTGAACTAAGTTCACAAAGTGGAATCACGTAAATTTTTTATTTTGAATGAAAATATACAGTGTATAAATTATCTTCGAAAATGTTTAGTTTTTATTTATTTTTTTCTTTTAAATAAACTTTTTTAGAAAAAAAAAATATGAAAGGTGAATTTTTATTCTTGATGCGATCTTCGCATCATTATGTCGCATGTCGAATCAATCATAGTGACGTAAAATATGTAAGATCGCATCGGAAATATATTGATGTAATATAAAGATTATTGGATGCAGAAAAGGAATCCTATAATGAGCGAGGGATTTTAATTATTCGTGACATGAATCTAATGCTAAAATATAAGATTGAGTAACAATATACAAAGAATTACCAGATATCCTTTCTCTCATTTTGACGCGTTAGAATAAAACGTAAGAAGGTTCTTCGACAATTCTTGATGATACAAGTAATTCCACGAAGATATATTTACAATAATTTTTAAAATAGGAAAGGCAATCATGCTTGATTTTGATAATAAATATCCAAGTATATTTAATTTGTAATTAACTAATGCAAGAATTTGCAGAATTTGGAAAATCCGAAATTCAATTATACTATCATTTATTGGTCATATATTTTTTTTTTTTTTTTTTTTAAGACTGAAATTATAATATTATATCAGAGAAAGAAACTAATTTAAGTAAAAAGGAAAACAAAAAAATCTACTGAGAAAATTTTATCTTATCATAATTGTATCAGTTTCTTTTTTTGAATCGAGTTATTATTCAAGAGTCGTTAAAGAATCGTAATATGTATATCTGTATATTGATATTTTTTTAAATCACATTCCTCTGACTTTCACTTCATTAATACATACTGAGGAAATCATTTCGAATTAGCAAGAAATCCAATTCAATTGGATCCGGAAGAAGTTGTCGAGGAATTGTAATTCCAGGAGATGCATCATGATACAAACAATCTAGAGAAATTTTGATAACGCATTGGCCTTGTTGAATGTTTGTTTGATTTCCATCTTTGTCAAGGGTACCAAATTCAAACTAACAATTAAAACATTACGTTAGAAAAAGCATTGATAAAAAGGAAATTATTTTTGTTTGTGACATTACGTGATTCCGATGTTGGATATCTGATGTTCTTGTTCGTTTGTCTGTGATACAAAAGTGCCACGCCTACAATTAATTGAATTCTTTAGAATAACGCAAACGTTGGAAATTCCACATGCACTTAAATATAACTTACCTGCATACGTGTAGGCGGTTCGTCCTCCCCAGAAACTGGATCGATTTTGATTACTATTGCGTCATGAACGCGACTAAAATTACCCAGCCAATATTTTTTAACCTTGTCCAGGACATGTTGTTCGCTCTCAGAATACGCAACTTCAACGACAAGATTTGGCCAAGGTTCATTCTGAAATCATGAAAATATGAAACCTCTGTGCTGAAGAATTCAAAACAAATATAAAAAAGTTACCTTTCCATTGCTCCCGTTTGGTGATTGCACTGGTGGTTTTGAAGGGCGAAAGCATGCATCAGCTTCTTTACCGGAATTGTCGGCACGAGTTCCTTAATAAAGACAAAGATTAATCTAAAATTACAAATATGAGGCCGAGACAGTTGGTGTATTAATAGTTACGAGATGCGCCAAGACCTCCGATTTTGGCATCAGTTCGTTTAACAGGATTAAATTTCTCATATATTTCAGAATTGATTGAAGAAATAAAAGTTTCGTGGTGTTTTAATGGCAGTTCATAAATAATGATTTTATGATCTTTCCATTCCCATAAACCATGAACGTTAAATTCGTCGGTGTGACGTTCATACTCGTCCAAAGTCTCGCCCTCGGCGAGTACGTATGGAAGCCTTGTTGTAGTCAACGAAAAATTGGTTTATATGAGTCACTTGCTCATAAAATTTTCAGCCAACATTAGAACAACTTACATGGCCTCTTCCCATTTTGCTTGCGGGTGTATATTACCTTCTTCCCACCATAATCGACGGAGCTTTGTTAATTCTACATCCGGCTATGAACAACAAAAGTGCTATTGTTACAAATAATAGCTCTTGTTAGCCAAAAAATTAGATGTGAAGTATCAATTGCGATATTTATTTACCTTTGATTCGAGATAATGGAGATAATGGAGGTAATGGAGGTATTTGCACTCTATGATAAATGTACTGTTATTATCCTACCCTCAAATGATTTGAAAAGAAGTTAAAAACACTCACCTCACCACTTGACTCCGATCTTTTAAACCTGCTAACGCTAGACGAGCTAGAGTAACCATCATAAAAAGTTGTCATATTTGGCTTTTTTGCAAGTATATAGGAAAATATTTGTAAGAACAATCAATTGATATACCATTTTTCATACTTATTGTCCGTAATAGTTAATTGACAAGTGGAAGTTAAAATTTTAAAAGTTTAAAAAAAAGTTGTCCCCCTTTCCATGATACATTAGCATAGGGAGCATAATGGACATTTAACTTATCTGCGATTTTATTGGTTGAATTTTTGTGATGATCATTTTTGAAATATTACATAATTATTAATATAAAAATTATCAAAATAGAAAGGTTAGTTTTATTCTGATCCACCAAAATGCCAAAAAATACTGGAAGAAACAATACCAACCAAAATACAACTCAAACCTTAGACTCTGAACCCACTTCAGAATTACCAGTCATGTTTACTAAACCTATCTTCATAAAAGATACTAACATTATAGAAATTGATCCCATCATGAAAAGTTTAACCAATAATCTTAACAAAGAAAAAGGTATTGAGAGCTTTATAACAGAAAATATTACACAAAAAACTACTATAAATGTTGATGAATCTTTTGACGTATCAGAAAATATTTTAGACACTTCAGTTCTTGATTTTGATATACCTTTAACTCATATCGTTAAATTATTTGTGTTCATCTTTTTAAAAAAATTCTCTGGCTTGAATTTCAAATGAAAATCTTAAAGATCACTAATTTGGATTATGATAAGCATAACTTATTCATTAATATCACTAGAGAAAGCATCCTATTGATCAAAATCAATTGATCATTAAAGTTGTCTTTATTGACAAATTAGAATGTGATGCATTTTATTTCTTTTAACTTTTTAATATAGAAAATACCATGTTTCAATCATTAGATATTAAAAAGTCTGTATCATATATACCTAATCTGTTGATTATGATTATAGAAATTCTCTTAGATGCCACAAAAACTGGACTCAGAAAACTCTTTTTTAAATTCAGTAATATTGTCTATTTTACACTAGTCAAATAATAGCATATTAGTCAAATATTATAGACTTGATATTTGTATAATATATCATATATAGTAACCCAATATATCAATGATTTGTATTCCTAATATCTTACCTAAGAATGTATGATATCAGACACCTTTAAGTGAGGTATCAAATTATAAATATTATTTAAATATCATATTCATATCAAGTATCTTGATACCTCAATAATTTTATATGATATTTATATGATATAATATCTAAAAGTGAGAAATCAGTTATAAAATCATTGAGGTATTATATAAATATAATAGTCAGATTGGTATTCTGATATCTCAATAATATTTATATGATATTTCATTAATTATATTCTGATATTACATGTATTTACTGATATCTCAATGGTTCTTTTATAATATATATATATTAATTTACTATCTAATTCTGAATAATTAATTATCACAATTAGTTTTTCTTCTTTTCGTTTAGAAGTTTTTTTCATTTTAATTCAGATTCTATTTGTTATTTTACTTCTTCTTCTACTTGTCAATTTATTTTTTCTTCTATTATTCAATTTATTTCTTCTTCTTTGAATATATAGTTTTTTTTCTTCCTTTTTTGCATTTCAGTTTACTTTTACTATTCTTTAAACTATTTCTTTTTCTGTGCTTCAGTTCACTTTTTCTTTTTTGAATAGATGGATTTTATCTATTTCTATTATTTGATCAGTATATTCTTTAATTATTATTAAATTTTGGTTCATTTCTTTACCTATTATTTTTTGATTAACATCTTTATTTACTCTTCAACTTACTTTCTTACCTTCTCTTTCATTATAAGTAGTTAAAATATTCCATTTTGATATATCTGCTGATAGTTTTGAATTGTTGTAGTATAAATTATCATCATACTAATGCTTTCATTATACTTTAATATGTTAAATTTTATCACCTATGGTATGACAGAGGATTTTTGACCTATAATAAAAAAAGTATTAATAAATAATTACATATAATATATATATATTCTTACTTTCTTAGACCATCATGGCTTATTATAAACTCAGATTATGTGTTTATCTATTTCTTTCTTATTTTTTAATTTTGTATAGTTTATAATTTTTACATGTATTTTTTTTTCATCAGTATCTGATACTTCATCTGAATGGTACTTACTGCTACTAATTATCTCTTTTAAATTTTCTTTAAACCCATTTTTTAATAGGCCATTTAGATGTAAGATAAATAACAATTTATTGTCAGTATTGAATATATGTGTGATTTCACGTTTCTTTCATTCTTTTTTTTAATTGTAAAATAAAATAGTAAATAAATATTATCAGTAATCTGATATTTTACATATTTTAAAACTAAAAGATACATATATCTAAATGCTTCAAATTAATCACTTTTCTCTTTTTATCTAACTTTACTTTTTCTTCATTTAATAAAATCATTCAATTTTCTTTCCTATAATGATATAATTGCTGGAGAACATATTTTAGTTCTGATTGCTTATATAACATCCTACCTTTTAATATTTAATTTATTACCAATATTATTTTTTTCAATATGAAATCATAAATATTGAATCATATTTGTTAATAATGAAATATTAAAACTAACAAGAATTTGTATTACTTCATCCTAAATTTATAAAATAAAGATAATTTATTAGTTTAGTCTGTAACAAATGTTTATTTGAATTTTATAAAAGATTGTAATTACCTTAAAAATTTTATACTATTTATTGATCATTTTTTTAAAATTTTCTCTTCTATTATATTCTCTGAATAGCTTTAAGAATAATGATTAATCCTGTGATTATTATGTTAATTATGATAATTACGATGACTTCACTTTCAAGTTATCTATTTCCTTAATTAGATAATTAGATGTTGATTGAATTGATAAGGATCTTATAATACATTATAAATATATTTATTAATAATATATAAGTTAACTATACTGTTAATCTATTGTTTCTATTATTTCTGAATCTCAATTGCTGCGCTTACTGTATTTGAATTAATCCATGTCTATGTGATTTTAGCTATTATTCTGACTTCTATGATTTTTATAACTTAGACTCCTAATAGAACTACAGAGGGTAGACAAAAGTATCTGCACACTTATTCACTCAATATAAAACTTATAATTTTTTTGCATTAACAATAAACAGTCAATTATTATTTTATTTAAAGCCGATTAAGATCTACATTTTGTACTAAGTAACTAGTATTTAGTTGTACTACCATTTGCCGCAATTACAGCTTGAATTCGTTGCAGCATACTATTGACTAGGTTTCGATAGTATGCTTCAGAATTTCTTGCCAAGCCTTTTTAACATATCAGTCAAATTAGATAGAGGTTTA